CACACACACACACACACACACACACACACACACACACACACACACACACACTCACACACACTTTTTCCGTTGGTCTGTATTTTGGGACATTACTCGAAGCAGATTGACTGGCGTTCGTAGTGGAGCGGTTATGGGACTTAACCGTCGCACACAGCAGACGTGAGTTCGATTCTCGTGTGGGAAGGTTTTCGCATCGAGTGTCTCCTATTCTGTTGGTTGGGATGTTGTAGGCTAGGCCTCAGCCTGGGCTGTCCTTCTCAATCATGGACGAATCAGTCTGCACCTTAAAACATCAAAATTAATATTTGTTTCGACGGGAGCGTCAAACGTTTACAATTGCGATAAAATGGAGACTCTTTGGGCTTTGCGTCGAGTAAAATGTACAAAGAGGCATAACAGAAAAATTTTGAACGGAAAGTGTTTCGGAGTATTTGTCTTTCCCTTCAATACCAGTTCTCGCGTTACAATAAGGAGGTTATACATTTTGTTGTAAGATCCTTGGGTATTATTACTATTATCATGGGGAAAAGACAGCACCCAGCTCTTATTCTATTTTAAGTTTGTTATTTATTGTATTGGAGCGCGGATGAGCTGAAGAGGGGAAGGACCGTCCGTTCTGGAAGGGAGAGCACTCCCGTTGCGTATCTATGTAAACATTTGACAAGTTGAACTGTTTTGGTGCATGTCGCACATCACACATTCGTGATTAATAATCTTCAAATCAGTTGCATAAACAAATGTAGATCTAGATATAGTAGTGAACGAATTATTTTTTAAGCACATATTTCCCTGATGTATGTTTTTCTTAAGTCATGGGAAGAAGAAGATCTTCAGCAGGGCTGGATATAATGGCCAGGTGGAGGGGTGGGAACGGTATTTCTACAGTGACAACATTGGAATTTAATATAGACTTGAATTTTACTTCCTTCATCATGTGTACATGGGCTTGTTAAAACAAGTAGTGGGCTTGATAACAGTATTTTTGGTCATTGTCATTTTGCCATAGACACTGAATATTATGGCTCAAGTTACAATTGTTAATAAACTTGGTCATGGTGCCTTTGGAGATGTGTACCTTGTGCAGATGGGAAACGACCATGTAAGCAGGTGTATTTAACTTGTAGTGGTATAATCAAAGCTCTGTCCAATCTGCTCTACTTCTTTTTAAATTGTTGGTTCAAACACAAATGCATCACATTTAGTCCATGATTCTAAGTAGATCTAGTAAGATTTCATTCCATAGAAGGCTCCATTGTCATTCCACATTGAAAGCTATATATAATATCTGACTACTTCTGTAATGTTCACCCATTATCATGAATGTGTATAGTATGCTAATACATGCTTGTGAGTTAAAATTGATATTCGTGGCATGACTTGGTAGAATCAGTTGCTCAACAGTTTTTGAGGCGTACAGATTTGATAATAAAATACTAATTAATGTATCTTGAATAGAAGACGAGATATTTGCTATTGAAAATTAGAAGGAGGTGCGGGGTCGCCGGGTGTCGGAAATAAAATAAGTGAGAAATGGCCACCAAAGTTTGGTGACTTTCAAAGCTTGTCGAGTGTCTCTGGACACTGCGAATTTGCATTTTATTATGCCTTTAGTCTATGTTTTCCAATCAAATCCGCACAGAAATGTGTTTTTAAATGAACATAAAAGGTGATGAGCCAAAAAAATAAAATTCAGAAAAAAAATCACCAAATGGCTGGAAAAATGTTGGTTTCTTTGAATTCACTATTTTGACAAGCACTTTATTTCACCACAATGCTACACATTTGGTTAACTTTCTGCACAGTGTATGTATGATATGGATGGAAACAGCGGAAGGCAAGATTAGAAGCACATTCAGGGGGTTGCAGTTTGGTAAGGCATGCTTTTTCATGTTGAGATTAAATTCATTACAGCTAGAAATCTTTGCTCTCAATGAAATGAAAAAGCAGACAGACTGGCTGGTGAGGCCACCTCAGTTGACAGTACAGTTCAACCAGACAGGGTCGAGACCCTGAATTTGAAGCCAGTATTGCTGTGGAGAGGATGATGCTTTTGGGAATACGAAAAGGAAGCGGAAAATCTGGCTTCCCTGCAGGAAAAAACTGAAAAAAGTTCAACCAGATATACACTGGCACTATCAGTGGAAAGACCCTCGGCCACATTTTGGAGAGAGCAACGGAGCATCAATGAACATGTCCAGAATGCAGGGATGTTGCTTCCTGAAACAATGAACAATGTAGTTATTGTTATCGATCCAGCAACAGCTAGGCTCTCACCCTTCTGTCCCACAAAATGTAAAACTACAACAATAAAAGACAAACATAATAACTAGATTCAAAGCGAAGAGATGATTGTGTGAAAGTGGTAGGTTATAAATTGCTGATACCATGTTTAACCTTATCGCTGAAGATTGTGTACCAAGGGATGGAAGACAAAGAGCCTACCGTGTGAAAGAAAGTGTATGCAGGCTGGTCATGTATGGCAGACTGCATCGTCGAAAGTCCGGTCTTACTGCAGTCATAGTTAGAACCATGGCCTAAGCAGACATGCTTCTGGGAAAAGTGGCCTTCTTGCTATAGATCTTTTGTTATTTTAAACATGATATAAGGCAATTTTTTTATTTGTTGTTGTTAATCAGACATTAGTTCCACCCATATTTCTTAGATTTCAATGAGCTCAGACAGAATGACATGATCCTAATAAGTTGCCCATGCTTGTAATGCATTATATGTAAAGCTTTCATGATATCTGTGATATACACACGGTTCTTCCAAGATTTATTATATGCTGTAATTTTGATGTTGTTCATTGAAACATGTTGTCTTTTCTAAGCTTCAAGCTTCAGCTCCGTCTGACATTGAATCCATGGGTAAGACACCTTATATGAATTTCCCATTAAACCTATACCATTTCACCTTTTTGTCCCCTCTAAGACATGAGTGAAAAAGGTATAGTATATAAAAAAAAATACTTAGTTTAATCATCTCTTTTAACTATCAACACACAATTCAACAAATGAAACTTCCTTTTGAATGTTTAACCGGACATCTGGTAAGTTCTATTTTTCTTTACCTCTGTTCTCTCTGTCTATCTTGCTATTTCACTGCACTGAATGACTGCTACTGTATCGATATACCGTACTTTTGTTTAATGTAAATAGTTAATAAATGCTATATACTATAGTCAGCTTTTATCTTTGCTTTTCAGTATGCTCTAAAGGTTGCTGATGTATCTCGCCTTCAAAAATGCAGAGGCCCAGATTTTGATGTTGAATCTGAGGCAAAGCTTCTGCAAAGATTGTGTCACCCACATTTGGTCCAGTGTTGTGGATATTTTCTACAAGGCACATTTTTATATATTGTCACTGAATTTTGTCAGTGTGGAAATCTCCAACAATATCTTCAAAAAAGGAAACATTATGTCTCTGAGAAGAAAATATTGCTTTGGACTGGTCAATTAGCAGATGCATTGAGGGTGAGAAAAAGAAAATTGATTTTTTGGTAGTTATTTTGTTAAGATTATAATTACTTTTTGGGGAGCTCTGTTTTGGCACACTAAAAGAAAATGGGGTGTGATTTGGAGCACCTGACTGTCTACAGTAGCTCCAGGACCAACCACACATCAGTGAAAAGACTCTGTCCTTAAGTTATGATCACACAAAAATAGATTATCTTTGCCAATAGATGATACTGTATTCATTTAGTGCATGGGTTGGACACTGGAGCTGCTAAAAATACTATTTATGGAAGTCCATCTTATGCTTCAGAGTCTTTGATATTTATTTGCGTGGTGGCTATGTAGGTGAATACGAAGAAATAATGTTACAGGTCTTGTGTTTTGTGTGAAAGCGAAGAGCATTCTCTCTCAGATTGTAGAGATTATTTTGTCAAAAAGGGAAAGCTTTAAAAAGTTTTAATATAATTATGAAGCTACTAAACAGCTTGAAACATCGAAATATATCGTCTTCTGATCAAGCTGCTGCAAAATTTGTAATAAGTGAGATAGAGCTAATGCAAAAAGAAAATCCGAGTCATTTGAAGCTGATGTAACAAGCCAGCAGTTGATGTACCATAAACTTACTAATGGCAGTTGGCTAAAACCTGAAGCATTGATTTTTCAAAAGTTTAGATGGCTTGTTAAGGGTTATTTTACGTATTTATCACAACATCAAATATGAAAAAATTCAATACAATAGAGTTTTTGTTTGGATCAAAAGAATAATTAATATGCTCTATGCTCCTTAATTGTTGCTCTGCTTGCAGTCAGCTGAAACATACCGTTGAACATGCACATAGTAGACTTGCACATAGCAAACAGATTTTCAGATTCCGAATTGTTTCTTAGGTATACATGTTCTATGTATTTAAAACACATTCATAGTATAATTCTTAACTACTGAAAACATTTCCGTTTGCTGCCAATTTCACTTTGTGAATGCTAGACTAGACTGTATTTCTTTTCTTTTTTTTTTTCAGTATCTTCATGCAAGCAAAATTATTCACAGAGATGTAAAGACTGAAAACATTTTCTTTGATGTCAACCAGAATATAAAGCTCGGTGATCTTGGTGTTGCCAGGTATGTTTAAAACATAACAGATTTAGACAATATTTACCCTTGCCATGTTCAATTTGAACACCCTTCTCATTATCAATTTGATACCTCTGTCTCTCTCTGTCTGTCTGTCTGTCTGTCTCTCTCTCTCTCTCTCTCTCTCTCTCTCTCTCTGTCTCTGTCTCTCTCCTCCCCCCCTCTCTCTCTCTCTCTCTCTCTCTCTCTCTTATTTACTACCTGAAAGTGAGCCCCTGAGTGCATGGCAGAGTTTGGATCTATCATTGTCTCCGCCTGTTGAAAGTGGTTTGCCAAACCCGTGCGTAGTTTCAGGGTACCACTTGTAGGTCCTACGTCTCTGTGTCTTTCACTCGTTTGTATATGTCTGTTGTGATTTTTCCCCGTGGCACTACACCATGACAGTTATAGCGTCTCTTTCCTCAAAAAAAAAAAAGAGAAAAAAAGGAAGAAAACACATTCGATCTTAAGAGGATATTACACGTTCAGTTAAAACTGACAGTTGTCCGCCTCTTTGTGAGAAGAAAATTAAACAATCTTGGTAAAATACTTCTTTTTTTATCCTTATCAACATCATCATCATCATCATCATCATCATCATCATCATCATCATCATCATCATCATCATCATCATCATCATCATCATCATCATCATCATCATCATCA